GGCATGAAAGTTCCACGCCCCTTCCCACACGCCCTGCCCTAACACATCTCTTCTAAAAGGATGTTCATCTATATCCTTATCATATCCTTTTTTAAAAAAAATCTTTTTATTTTTCGATTACAGTTTTTCAATTACAATATTTATATTAGTTTCAGGTGATCATCCCAATAAATCGTACCCATCTGACACCATACACAGTTATTAGAACATTATTGACTATATTCCCTATGATGTACTTTATATCCTCGTGACTATTCTGTAAAAATCTACTTGTACTTCTTTTTTTTTAAAAATATATTTTATTGATATATGCAGGAAAAAGGGGGAAGTGAGGAGAGGGGCTTACTGGAAGAGAGGAAGGGAGAGAGATAGTTAGAAACATCAATGAGAAAGTAACAGCGAGCAGCTGCCTCCTGCACACCTCCTACTGGGGATGTGCCCGAAACCAAGGTACATGCCCTTAACCGGAATCGAACCTGGGACCTTTCAGTCTGCAGGCTGACGCTCTATCCACTGAGCCAAACCGGTTTCGGCTACTTGTACTTCTTAATCCCTTCACCTTTCATCCATCCCCCCAACCCTGCTATCAGGCAACCATCAAAATGTTCTCTGTATCTATGAGTCTGTTTCTGTTCAGCTTGTTCATTTATTTTCTTTTTTAGATTCAATTGTTGATAGGTATATATATTTATTGCCATTTTACTGTTCATATTTTTTTTTTTAATATATTTTATTGATTTTTTACAGAGAGGAAGGGAGAGGGATAGAGAGTTAGAAACATCGATGAGAGAGAATACTGTTCATATTTTTTACCTTTTTTTCTTTTTTTCTTAAAGAAAGACCCTTTAACATTTCTAGTTTGGTGGTGGTGAACTCCTTTTGCCTTTTCTTATCTGGGAAGCTCTTTATATGTCCGATTCTAAACAATAGTTTTGCTGGGTAATCTTGGTTGTAGGTCCTTGCTTTGCACCACTTTAACCCTTTTCGGTCCAACCTCAAGGCCAACTCGACAGACCAGGCGGTAGAAGCAGGTCCAACGTCGAGTAATAAGAACATTAAAAAGTTCAACATTCAATCCTGTCAATTAATTTGGAACAGACTGTTTGAATTCCAAAAATAACATTGGACCGCAAAGGGTTAATATTTCTTACCATTCCCTTCTGGCCTGCAATGTTTCTGTTGAGAAATCAGCTGACAGTCTTATGGAAGCTCTCCTGTAGGTAACTAACTGCTTTTCTCTCGCTGCTTTTAAAATTCTCTGTCTTTAACCTTTGGCATTTTAATTATGATGTGTCTTGGTGTGGACCTCTTTCGGTTTATCCAGTTTGTGATTCTGCACTTCCTAGTCTTGTATGTCTATTTCCTTCAATAGGCTGGGACATTTTCTGCCATTATTTTTTCAAACAGGTTTTCAACTTCTTGCTCTCTCTCTTCTCCTTCTGACATGATGAGAATGTTGCTATGCTTGAAGTCGTCCCAAAACCTCCTTACACTATCCGCATTTATTTTGGATTCTTTTTTTTTTTTTGCTCCTCTGATTGGGTGTTTTCTGAATCACAAAGCACTGCACCCTGGCCGGTTTTGCTCAGTGGATAGAGCATTGGCCTGTGGACTGAAGGGTCCTGAGTTTGATTCTGGTCAAGAGCACATGCCTGGGTTGTGGGCTTGATCCCCAGTAGGAGGCAGCCAATCAATGGTTCTCTCTCATCATTGATGTTTCTATCACTCTCTCCCTCTCCCTTCCTCTCTGAAATCAATAAAAATACATTAAAAACAAAACAAAAACATTGTTTTGATTCTTGGCTTATTGTACTCTACTGTTGATTCCCTGTAAATTGTTCTTCATTTCAGTTAGTGTATCCTTCACTTATGACTGTTCATTTTATGGTTTCTATGTCCTTTTTTTATGTTGTTGAAGTTCTCTTTAAGTTCCTCTACTCTTCCCCTAAGTTCATTGAGGATCCCTATAACCAGTGTTTTGAACTCTGCATCTAAGAGATTGCTTGTCTCCATTTTGTTTAGTACTTTTTCTGGAGTTCTGTTCTGTTTTTTTCACTTGGAACAAATTTTGTTTCCTCATTTTGGCAGTCACCCTGTGTTTGTTTCTATGAATTAGGTAGAGGTGCTATGTCTCCCAGGCTTGGTAGAGGCCTAATGTAGTAAGTGTCCTATAGGAACCAGTGGTACAGCTTCCCTGTTTACACAAGCTGGGCACTCCAGGTGCACCCATGTGGGCTGTGTACATCCTCCTGTTGTAGTTAAGCCTTGATTGCTGTTGGCACATCAATGAGAGGGATTTACCTCCAGGCTGACTGACTGCAAGGACTGGCTGTGACCACCACTACGGCCCAGCTGTGCAGAGGCCTACCCTTCAGAGCAGGACTTATTTCAGCAGGGCTCTGGTGCTCAGAGTCCACCCCTTGAGTATGCTGTTGTGGAGGTACTTGGAGGTGATCTGAGGTTGTCCACTGGGTACCTGGCTCTGGGGCTTCCTGGGAGGTGCAGGCCAAGGTCAGGGGCTACCCAGCATGAGCTACAAAGAGATCTTCAGATGGCTGCTACTTGTGCTGGGCTTGGAGGTGCCCAGGAGAGGCCAAGCTATGAACATAAGCATGCGCCAAGGCAGGCCATTCGTACAGAAAAGCCATTGGAAAGAGCTTGGGTGGTGGGGCAGGGTCTCAGGGGATCACAGGATGGGGAAGACGGGAAGCAGTGACAGCGAGTTGATGGAGACTCAGCTATAGCTCTGTTGGGGTAGAGCGCAGAAAAGGAACAAAGGCCTCTGCCAGCACTTCTGTCTGGAAGAAAGCTGCCTTTCCAGCTCCTGCCCTGATGACAGTTCAGTTCCTCCCTGTATGTCCCTGGTGCCTTTCAAGCTGCTGCCCCAGCACTGGAGCTCAGAGCGAGTGAGTCTGAGTAAATCCATGCACAGTCCCTTTAAGCGGAGCTGCCTGGGACTCCAGCAACCTCCGAGTTACTTAGTCACAATGCCTGCTAGTTTTTACAGCCAGAAGTTGTGGGGACTTCTCTTCCTGGTACTGGAATCCTGGACTAAGGGCATGGTATGGGGCTGGGACCCCTTGTTCCTCAGGGGAGACTTCTGCAGCTGAGATATCCCTCCCGATTTTTATCCACCACACACAGGTATGGGACCAGCCAGCCCCACAGTTGGATGTGGCTTCTTCTATCTTTAGTTGTAGGATTCTCATTCAGCTAGATTTGAGGCAGTTCTGAATGATGATTGTTCTGTAGTTTAGTTGTAATTTTGATGTGATTGTGGAAGGATATAGGTACTGTGCCTACTTACGCACCACGTTAACAGGAAACCCTCCTATCTGTATATATAAAAGGCTAATATGCAAAGTGTCCCATCGGGAGTTCGACTGGGAACTCAATCGCTTGCTATGATGTGCGCTGACCACCAGGGGGCACCATGGAACATGGTGGGCAACCAGCGGCGGTGGCAGGGCGCTGAGGGAGTGAGGGAAGGAGGAGGCAAAGAGGTGGGGAGGCAGGGAACTTGATTGGCCCTGATTGTGGCCAGGTCTAGGGATCCTACCCATGTACAAATTTCATGCACCAGGCCTCTAGTCCTTTTATAATAAACTGGTAAATATAAATAAATGTTTCTGTGAGTCACTCTAGCTAATTAATTGAATCAATAGGGGAAGGAGGTCTTCAGAACCTCTGATTTATAGCCAGTTGGTCAGAAGTACAAGTAACAACCTGGACTTGCAACTGGTATCTGAAGTCCAAGGAAGGGGTCCTTGGAACCTTCAATCTATATCTAGCTGATCAGAAGCTGGGCTCTGAATTGGAATCCAAAGTGGAGGATGGTCTTGTAGACCTGAGCCCTTTACCTGTGGGATTTGATGCCATCCTCAGGTAGATAGTGTCAGAATTGTAGGACATCCAGCTGGTGTCCCCAGCATTGCTTGATGGTGTGGGGATAATCCTCTCCAGATGTAGGAATTCATTTCAGAACCATTTAATTTCATCTAATTTTTGTTAATCCTCACCCAGGAATTCTTTCCCATTGATTTTTAAAGAGTAGAAGGGAGGGGGAGAGACAGAGAGAGAGAGACCTCGATGTGAGAGAGACATGTCAATTGGTTGTCTCCTGCATGTGCCCAATCAGACCCAGGAATCGAACTGCAACTGATACATGCCCTTGACCAGAATTGAACTTGGGACCCTTCAGTCCATAGGACGATGATTTATTCACTGAGCCAAACCAGCTAGGGATTCAGAACCATTTTAATATGTTTCCTTCTAACAGTTATCTTTAAAATTCTTCTAACCAGAGCAGCGTAAAATGGTCTAAAGATATTTTATACTTCTTAATCCTTACTGTCTACATTAAAATTTCTCTCACCTCATAGTCTTTACTTTCACTGTAGTCCTAAGTGCTTATGTATCTGTATTTTAGGTATTTCCTAATTTTTGAGCTTTATACATACTTCACCTCCCTTAGAATTCACGCTTTTCAAAAATTTAAAGCAGAAAAACCCTTTATTCAAAGGAAATCTTCCTCAGAACAGTAATGCATAAAACAGGTTTAAAAAGAAGGGAGACAGTTTGCTCTGATGGAAAGGTATGGGGAGAGGAAGGAGCTGGGTGTAGGAAGCTCAGCTCTGCCCTCCTCCCCATGCCCTGAATACAGGTACACTCCAGAATCTTCACTAGATTCCCTTCAAGTGACAAAGGGCCAATTCCCTCAATAACTTATTCTAGTTTCTGGAGCAAACCTACTGCCGCAATTCAGGTGTTCCTTTCAGAGTAACTAACTTCAAGTCCTTAGAAATTACTTTGATATACTCTAATCTCTGGCAGCATATAGAAGTGGTTGTCTCTGGGGAAGACAACTGGGTGGTTAGGGGAGATAATATATTTTTGAATCTTTAAATTTTATACCATGTATTACCTGTACAAAAAAAAAGCAATTTAAAAATGAACAAAAAGCCAATGAAAGTCATTAGGCATCTATGGATTCCTGTTACCTTGTTGTCCATAATTGTCCACTGGCCCTCCGTGTTCTGCTTCAAAACACAGTGGTTTCGGGAAATCATCAGAGGGCAGAGTTTTGATACCAGTTGGTAGGTGACACCAAATCCTCGGCCTAAAGTCACCTAGGAAGACAACGACAATATAAGAGACACCATCAGCCACTGTGCTGAAAAGGGAGGTCCTTTTGACAATCTTGTCGACCAGTGGTGCACACATGTCCTGACATGAAACCAGACTCCCATGAAACCCACACAGCTCATCAGCCATCCTCCTTCAGCTGCCATGGGAGCCACCAGGTAGAAAAAGGCAAGAAGCTGTGACAAGAAGAGACAGCTGAATGCATTTACTCATGGAATGTCAGGGTTGGTAGGGCTCTGAAAAGTCCTAAGATGGAGAAATTCTTTCTATACACCCTCATCAACTAGTCTTAAACACTGCCAAGAACTACAGCCTCTATATAAGACAGACTGTCCAATTTTTTAAGGGCTCAGACTTGGCATCTTTCTCATTATAAATTCCATCCATTGGCCCTGGCTATGTCATGGGCACCAACAGAAAATCTCCAATTCCCCTCCCACATGACAGCTATAGTGCCTGTCAAGTCTTTTTTTGGCCCTATGTTACCAGTTACTTCAACCTAACGCTCATGGTGTAGGTTTGAGTCTCTTTGCTATCTTAATGGTATATTTTTATTCCTGGATGCCATAATAAGAAAAATAAACTTAACTTCTATTACACAGTCGAATTCAAGTATCACTTTCCAAGTTCTAAATATCATCACTTGTGGGAAACTGTTTATTGCCTTCACTATCTGATAAGCATAGACAGAAACCCCCCCGAAGGCTGGGTGCCTTTGAAGCCCTAGCAAAGCTCGGAGCTAGGCGCCGCCTCTGTTTGTCCAGACAGTGGTAGCTGAAACTACTTCCCCATTTATTATTATGTAAATCCTTGCTGATGGGCTAGTCTGCCTGTTGCCAGGGGTCACCTGCCTAAGGGCTATGCTATGGGTGCATCCCAGAATCAATAAAAGCTTGGTGAGGCCTGAGCACAGGGAGGAAGTCCTTTGGGACTTGCCGCCGGTCCCCCAATATTGCAAAATTATCTCGTGTCTTTTTCTCTCATTTGTTGTGCGGCTCCTCTTTCAGATACCGAACCCTACTCCACGCGGGTCGTGGAAGGAAACACTCAACAATCACTGGATAAACTGCATCAGCTTTCAGAGCAGATCTATCACACAATGTACCCTCAGGCTTAGGAATGATTAAATTTCTTGGTCTGACCCTCCCCCAAGAATTACATGCAAAGTCATATCTCTTCTGTCCTATACTTGACTACTTGGTAAATCTGGATTCACATGAAGGACCTTACATTGATTCCTATTAAACTTCATCTTGTTAGTTCAACCTATCACAGGAGCTTGTGAAGACCTTTATGAATTTTTTACCTGCCATCTGATAAACTCAATATTCCTCTCACCAAACTAATATGATGCCTATGTACTTTCATTCAAGACACAGATAGAAGAGAGAGAACCAAGATGGTGGCATAGGTAAACACTTGTACTTGCTGCCTCCCACAAGCATATCAAAATTACAACTAAAATACAGCACAACTATCATCCAGAACCGCAGGAAAGCTGGCTGAGTGGAAGTACTACATACAGAGAACTACCGGTAAAGAAGAAAGCGCATTGAGACGGGTAGGAGGTGCGGAGGCAAGGAGGCGCTGACAGGCTGGCACCCAGTGTGCC